AAGGCTTTAAATAATGCCGATTGTTTCAAATACATAGGAGTTAGTATTATGCACACATTGAAATGGCACTCGCATATAGATAACATGTGTTTTAAGGCAAACAAAAAACAGTATTTCTCAAAAAAAACATGAACATGCCACACCAGATGTAAAACTAACTGCTTACAAAACATTCATACGTCCTGTCTTAGAGTATGCTAGTATTGTATGGTCGCCTCACCAGAAGGTGTTGTGGACAAAAATTGAAAGAATACAAAAATTAGCAGTCTGTTTCATATGCGGTAGATACCGACGCACTCACTCAGTCACAGCTTTGTTAAAGTCCTGTGAGCTTGAGTCTTTGGAATATCGTAGGCGAAAACATCGCCTCGAATTTCTTTTTAAGGTTATAAGCGGGCAAGCAAAGATAAATAAGGATTTGTATATTCAACCCCCTGGAAGGCGATGTGATCGTCTTAATAATACTAGAGCAATTCAACCTTATTTCACACGCACAAATGCTTTCCGCCACTCCTTTTTCCCAGACACAATAGATATGGGGAATAGTCTACCCAATGCGGTTGTGCAACAAACATAGTCAGTGGAAATTGAAAATGCATTGGACGGTTGTCTTTGTAGTGATGCGTGCTGAATTCTGTTGTCAGCATTTATTCGTTGATATTTATGTGTGTAGTCACTGTTGTTTGTTTCTTATCTTTTATTGTTGGTTATTCATCTCGTATTTATACGTGCTTTTGAATTTTTTTTTTTGTGCGAACGCTATGTACTTTGTGACACCCTCCCTGTAATGACCCCAAGCACGGGGTTGACAGTATCAAATAAATAAAAATAAAATAAAATAAACGTGGCCGCAAAATGGCGTAGGCACTGTTGTGTCCCTCGACACTATACTTAGTTTAGCTTTGGCAGTCCTGTGGAACTTCTTCCTAGCTTTGCAGTCGGCAGTAGGCTCTGCCAGATGGAGCGAAAGAAGTTTGGCAAGCGTTTCATGGCTCTGTTTGTGAGCTAAATGTCAGTGAGGAGTCTGCTCGAAAAAAACCGAGAAAGACAAGCTCATGGTGCTGGCGTACTTTAGCAGCAGTGGCCACTACAAGAACGATTGTTCTTTTAGGTGTGCGAATTTCATCAGATTTAGTGATATCTTTTATAAATAAAAGCTCAATTTCAACTTTAAAGCTTGTTTTTCTCAAAACACAAATTTTGCCATTTTTTTTCAATGTTCCCCTCCTTTTTCGGGCACTTCTAGTCCTCGGATCTGCATGAAATTTTGTCCAAATTTTTCCAAAGTATAACAAATACATTTATCCAATTAAAATTTTAATATTTTATTATGTAATAAAAGATTGTATGCTAACCCTCACTGGGTAGGTGAAATGTGAACTTTTTTGCATCTTATTTTTCACTCCTATTGCATATTTTGTATGTGCTTCTGTGCTTCCTTATTAGTTGTTTGCATTATACACTTTAGTGGAAACATTATTTACGGAAGTTACGGAAGTTGAGGGATGAAAAGAGGGGGGGGGGGGGGGCAAAAGGGTTAATGTTTTCACTTAGTCATGTCGTAAAGCTAAAAGTACGCAACTTGCAAGAAAACTAATGATATCTGAAATCAGCATAAAATGTTCCCATTAAAAGCTAAAGTTCAAGTAGCACCTTCCTTTTAATTTGGGCCAGCAAGGTAGTTGGGACTTCCTTACAGCGGGCTTTTCTCCCATGGACATGACACTTTCAATTACTTCCCCGCTTCAAAGATTCCTTGGCATACGTTCGGGACAGGAACAGCGCGCTGCAGATATCGATGCACTGTTTTAAAGGGCCCGTAAACCACTCAGAGGTCGAAATTCAGTTGTACGGAAATCATGGACGAGTGTACGACGAACACAGAGCCGTAAGAATTTTTCGAAATGGTGCAGTAATAGTGGAGTTAGACGAGTTTGATTATCGAAACCGTGACAACCACACCTTTCGCTCTCTCCTGCGCTTCCCACCGCTGGTATCCTCTCTCACGTTGCTTTGCCCTCTCGCTGAGTGGCCCTCCAAATCTTGCGTGGCATACACCATCGCCGACGCACTGCTTGAAACACCATCTACTTCTGGTTACCATGACTCCAACCATCGGCTCCGTCGGTTGCATGCTTGTTGGCGAACCGTGGCTGCCGTATTCGTGCCGGTTGTTGCGAACATGCCTTCAAAGGATTGCCATTGCTGCAGACTGACTGGAAGTCTAGGCTCTTGCTCGAAAGCATATTTGGCATATTTGGCTCGGTGCACCAGAGATGTGCACGGTGCGTCACGGTGAGGCCAAGGCCCGGAAAGGAGGAGGGATTGTTTCTTGGAATTTGTGGCGCGCCGGCGGCTCGTAGCGCTGCCATGTGCAGAATTGTTGATCGCGGCGGCATTCTACACACGATGCGCACGTTTACTTGAAATGCTTGAAAAAGTATTGGAGATGGTTTATGGGACCTTTAAGAATGAAGGCTGCCATTATCTTGTCTGATCAGCAGCACTAAAGATTTGGCGCGCAGCGTGCTTAGTGTACTGGCGCGCGCACACGCGAAGCCGCTGCCATCACTCTTCCTTGATCAGTTGCTGCGTGGAGAGTTGGCGGGGCGTCCGCTGCCAATGCGAAAATATCCATCTGCAGTTCTGAGGAGCCAGAGGCGATGTAATTTGTCACTTTCGACGAAGCACATTATACCTTCTTTGCTGTCGCATGTTCGCTAACATGATAATCTTGCCCACAAAGATTGGAGCCAGTTAGGCCTAGCAACGACTTCATGCAGAAAGCTCTGTTAGATGTGCATGGCTGTAGTGGCCGATGTTTCAAAGTGCGTCATGCTCGACCGCAAGTGTAAAGAGTTGTTCCTGTGTGATATTTGTCACTATGTCCAAAGTGCTCATAATCAGCACCTCAACAGTGGGCCCTAGATGTGCGTCTGTGATGTTCCCGACAAGTGCAGTGTGCTATTGTATTCCGACAGCTGAACTGCTTGCAGCTGCCTTAACTGAATGCGGAACTCAGAATAAGCGTGAAAATGCTACTAAGTAGTGCGATTTGTGGCGGTTGTTCTGTTTAGAAGGTCAATTTTTCTGAAAAATGCTTTTTATTTTTGCATTTACCGCTATTATATTAGTTACCTCAGCAGGTACAACAACTATTTACAGCACTTCTGCATAGTTTTCAGTATGAGGTTATTTTGGTATCGGATAGAAAAAGGGCTAATGTTCAAAAAATCAATTTTTTTATGCCCCTGTTGGAATGCAGTTAAACCTGTATATAACGAAATGGAGAAATTCCCTCAAAAAGTTAGAGGGTTTGGTTATATGCATGTTCAGTACGAAAATTAGAAATATAAGTGCACAAATATAAACAAAAAAACTGAAAGCAAAGCTTACCAAAAACACTTATTCAGCAGTGAAAAACTGCATCATTATAGCGATGGCAATTATATAGACACTCATAACGTGTTTTTTGCGGTCGCTGCGATGTTCCATCTAAATTGATAACCTTCCCCCATGCATCGTAACTTTATGAGCGGGTAAAAGCGCATGAGCGCTGTTGAAGCAGAGATCAAATGAACCGGTCCTTCCCTGTTACTTGGAGGGCACATCTGATAACATCCCCCGCGTGTTAGAACTGCCGCCGAATGGTCAAACAGAAAGAAAATTGCCCTTTTTGAACGAACTTGAAAAAACAAAAGTGGAGGTATGGGGGAGGGGTTGGCTGCCAGCCTTACTTCATATAGCATTACAATTTGTGGCTATCGTATTCATTGCACTGCATTCAACATGCCGCCTGATTGCCAGAGCTAATGGGCTAGTTGTGAAGGTTATGATCTCATTAACTCGTGCAGAGCAGGACGGCAAAACAAGTGATGAGTCGACCTCCGAAGATTAGTCGTCACCGTGGTTTCAGATAGTTTCCACCAGCGCCCAATCTGACATCTCCTCAGTAGTAACGAGACGGTTGCCCGCATTACAAAAAAAGGGAAAAGCTGAACGTCGTTGGGGGTCATACTGCGCGGGCACAGTAAAACCATTCACGTGTGCCCTGAATCAAAAACGAAAAGGGAACGACACAGATACTTCAGAAAACTATTGGGAAGCGTAACAATGCCAAGTGGCGTCACCTGCGTCACCTAAAGCGAAGCTCAGAGACTTCTACAACAATTGAGGAATGGCGCTACCAACGCAAAAATGTTTTTTTTTAGGAGAGAGCGGGAGGGCACATGCATGCATGCTTTTGTGGTGGCAAGATAGGCAGCAACGCCGGCTCGACAGGCGCTGGCCGGCCTGTCTGCCTTGCGCACAAACGCGCTCGCGCTCACTTGGGAGTCGCTGAGGCCACCACAAGTGCTCCGTGTCTGCCGCCGTTACTGTGGCCGGGCAGCTGAGAAGATGCATGCTCGTGCCAAAGTACGAAATCCGCGGCAACATTTCTAGATTGTTACGGCAAAAATTCATTATATCCAGGATGTCTCTCGCTGTTACTTTCTTACAAAGAGGTCACAAACTTATGTGCTTCTAAGGAGTAATGGCGGAGAATAGAAAAACTTTGTAATATTAAATTTTTTATATGGAGGTTTGTTTGAGGAAAGATAACCGTAAATTCATTTATGGCTCACAATTCTCTCTTGTTATTTCAGACCCAGTCAGTATTTATGCAGAAGTGTGTTGTGACAGTACTTGAATTTTACATACTCCTTTAACAGCAGACCAAAATCTTCTCTACTATGGAGGTCTGTTGTCATGAGGTTATGCTGTATAACAAAGTTATTTTTATATAAGTAGCAAGCTTTTTATAATGAGGTTTGATCTCATAAGCACAAAATATTTATTGCCGTTAGCTGCGTACCTTTCGAGCTATGTACAGTCACCCTTGATCATTGTGCTGCTAGCACCCACATTTTGGTTAACGAGGACATCTTTCTCTGGTCTGAATGAGCTCTGTGTCCGGGCACATGTACCATTCTTTTCCCCCCTTTTCTTCATGCCCTCAGGAGCCGTCCTGTGATCCAGAGTGGCAGCAGCGGCAAAATCGGCAGCAAAGAGCGCCAACGCAGCACCATTGTTATCCGAGACACTCCAAGTCCGGCCATCAGCGTCATCACCATCAGCTCCGACTCTGAGGACGACCGCGAGTCTCCGGCTTGGTACGATACAGTCCTTGAATTTTGACCATGATTGTGGTTAATAGGGAACAGGAATCGCCTGTCAGAAGGAAAGCTTTAAAGCGGAGTGGTAAGGGGAAAAGACACGAAATCCTCAGTGCTTTGGCCATGAAGATTTAAAAAAAATGCTTCACAGAACACTTGCTTATTTAGCATAATTGATGTTGAAATACCGTGTACGCTCGTATAAGGGCCACACTTTTTTTCTGCTGCAGCATAGACCGCTCATAACTTGCCGTATTTACTCGCATACCCTCCAGTTTGGTCGCAAGAAATCAGATTTTTTTTATTTTCACGCATAATAGGCACATCCCTAACTTGGACTGTGGTCGGTAGTTCTGTACCGTATTATTAGTACAGTGGCAATTCGAGACTCTCTTTGTGAACTGAGCCATCGGCCATACCATGCTGAATGCGCCAGTTCTTGTCCGATCACCGAAGCCAAGCAGCATTGGGCTCGGTCAGTACTTGGGGGGGAGACCACTTGGGAACACTGGGAACACCGAGTGCTGATAACACCATATCTGCCCCCCCCCCCCCCCCCCCCTCGGTAGTCTAGTGGCTAAGGTACTCGGCTTCTGATCGAATCCCGGTGCCGACTGCATTCCTTAGGTGGAAATGTTGTAGGCCCGCGTGCTCAGATTTGGGTGCTCGGTAAAGAACCACAGGTGGCCGAAATCTCCGGAGCCCTCCACTACGACATCTCTTATAATCATATAGTGGTTTTGGGACATTAAACCACACATATCATTGTGAACTGAAGCGAGAAAAAAGAAAGCAAAAAGTGACCATGGCAGCACTGCACCAGCCCTGCGAGCTTGATGGAAGAGGAAGAAGGGCAGTTGCGTGGGCGTTGAAGTAACCTTTGCACCGACACCCGGGCGTTGCTCTGGCAGTCAGCCAGCTGCGCACTCCATATGAAACGCTCAATCGCGCCATCGTCACATGTGTGTTGAATTTCTTGACGAAAAAAACGTCGCGTTTGCTTCGTCTGCAAAATTTTAAAGATTTTCAGGTTTCCGACGCAACGTTTCGCCTTTGTTGTCACCATGTGAACTCGCTCGCACAAGCTCAATGGACTTGGTCGTCAAGAAAGGGAAAGAAGACAACCACCTGTTTGTAGCACGAAGCCACAGTGAAATCTGTACGCATTTCTCAGAAAGAAAAGCCTCTTAGTTTAGGAAAAGTTCACCTTGGTCTGGCGTTCGAACCGAAAACTTTGGGTGGTCACTCTGCCAATTGAGCTAACCAGGAAGCTAGCAATTGAAAAAGCTAGGTCGAATCCATCAACTCAAAGCACATGAACACAAGAATTGCAAGTGAGTTCTGCGGAAACCTGCAAAGTGGCGGAAAGAGCGAAGAAAAAAAAAAAGACAACCACTCGTTTCTCGCATGAAGCCACAAGGGAATCCGTACAGATTTTCTTGTGGCTTCATGCGAAAAACGAGGGGTTGTCTTCTTTCGACGGAGATCAGCCGCCTCGTTTAATCTCTGCTTGCGCAGTGCTCACCACCCCAGCTTGCACAATTTTACCCGCTGATAGAATGTATGTGCAGGTAATGTTACCAACTTATAGTTTATGTGGAACATGGCGGCAAGGGTTAAAACCGTTCAAGTGCCCATGTAGTTCCTAACGTTATAAAAAAAAATCACTGATTTGCCTAGCAGTGGCGTGGCAAGCCCATCTAAATTTCTTGGCGGTTCTCATTTATTTTTATAGAGCCCTATCGGTTTACTATGAAGATAACTTTTATTATATTAGTTCATCTCTAGTCTTGAGTTGCTGTTTATGTGATATGCGGTGTTTTAATTACATTTTAAACATTGCAACATTTTAAAATCAGTTTTTTTAATTCGTCTGAGTAGCTGTTCAGAGCGCCACTCATGTTTTTTCTTTGAGTTGCTGGGCTTTCAACATTAATGTTGTAAGGTTTAATATATATCAATTTGGGGTGAGTCTGGTCACTTGATCAGCAATAAATTGTTAGTAAAAACCTCTGAATTTGTTTTTTGTTGATAAGGAAGCTAATAAAAAACTAAAATTCTAATTAACAGAAATGTGTGACCCAATAAATATGCTCCGAAACTAAATTTTGATCCTCCAAAACACGCCTTTTGATGCTCAAGAGCCACTTCAAAATGCCCCTTTTACTGCTCCAAAGTTGCTCCAAAACCATGTTATTCCTGCTCCCAAAGCTGCTCCAAAAAACTGAAGCCCGCTTCCACCCCTGTAAAACGCATGTTTCGGAGGCTAAGCTCTTTCTAGCTTTTTGCATCAAAGCAGCTAAAAGCAGCTGTTGCCAACTGCAAGGTTACAAGTGACATCGAAATCGCCTACTTGTCGACAATTGTGTTTTGTTGCATTGTCTTTTGCGCCTTGTGTACTTCTCTCCTCATTCCCGATAGATTCTCATTCGTTAATTGAACTGAACCTTGCCCCGCACATAGCAATAAAAGTATAGACTGGGGCTTAAAGCGACACTAAGTAAAGCACCGTTGTAAGCTTACCTGGTGGGCCAGGTAACGACTTCATCGGCGTTCTGCGTCAATCAACACTCTTGTGGCCAAAGGAGCTGATACGCTTATTTTAAAAGCTTCAAAGATATTGAGGATGACTTGAACTTGACCGCGCGCAAGAAGTTAGACAAGTTTACGGACTATTTTCATGCGAAATGAAGTCCGATAACGTGCAGTTCACACCATGTTCTTCATTAAACCGTGATCAAATCATTATGTTAACGCTTGTAATGATTTCCGAGATCTGAAGTGCTTTAATTTAGGCCTTAAATGCGCACAATTTGTATTTTGAGTTAAGGATATTTGAAATATTTTGTGATCCCGTTCGAGTTCGATATATCCGGGATCAACTGTAGGGTAAACAGAGCAAGGCTAATCATTGCAATGGAGGTGGTCAACTTCACTTGCCCACAGTGGTCAGACTTACGAAGTTTTCTGCCAGTGATGGGTATAGAAGATAGCAGTCGACATTTAATAGTGATTTTCTAGAAAAGAAATCTACCTATACTTTGATTTTTACAGTACCTTCAAGCCAAGTTCACTCGCCATGCTTAGCAGGAGCGCTTGCTACTCATTTGCGCAGGCACTGCTGTATGCAGAGTAGTAGATGGATAACACGTAGTGTGTTTATATCGGTGTCACACGGGCGTTTCGAAGGGCATTGAACCAATAGTCTATCGACTCAACTGACAAGGACGAGCTGCCACACGGGCTATTTTGAAGGCCATCGAGTCAATGGTCTTTCGAGTGAACGGAGCACCCCACACCTATGTTGAAACTACAATGGCTATTGAGGGACGGAAGTGGAAACAGCGCAAACGCGCCCTCTCGTTCCCAGTGTGCTCGAATCCCCAATAAGAAAAAGAAACTTTGCACTAGTATCTTTTAAAAGTAGCATTCGGTATCATTTTAAATTATCTAATGAAGTATTTGTGCCGTTTAGAATGTAAGAACAGCTCATACTCTTAACAGCAACAAGCTGGCTGCCTGTGCCCGTTATCGCCAGTCTCTTTCCGCTGTCATATTGCACGCAGCGTTGCTAAGTTGTGCCCTGCTTTTTAGGAGTGTCTGTGTAAAACAGTGAGTTCTGGGACGCGTTTCTTTTTTTTTCGGTATAGTTACTCTTTTTGTGCCCTTTGTGTGAAATGGATGACGCGTCATCGCCAATAAAGAAAGAAGCTTCTCCAGCCACTACTCCAGCTCTGGGGTTAGCAAGAAACAGCGTTGCTCATAGACTTGTAGAAAGACCGCCTGGTAACGCTGAATGCCCGCTTGAAAAAATTTTCACCATGCAGTGGCACGGTCTTCTCAAACCAACGCATCTGGCAAGTAAAAGACCATCTTTCTTTGTCTACGCTGCGTTCGGTCACCATGTCTATGGTTGTCGACAAATTTGTCGACAACCATGCTGCTGTCGACAACCATGCTGCTGCTCGTAAACAATTGTTTGCGAGCAGCAGCTCTTCAATGGCGTAGGCATCCTCCTTTGCCGCTTCAATGCTGCGTGATCGCACCCGTGTAAAAAACCATTGCAGTCTCCTCATCTCGAACTTCTACTCCATGGTTGCTCATGACGGCAGAAGCTTGCAAAGCAAGTTGCAGCGGCCTCCGAAACGTGTCAACATAACCACAAAATGGCAGCCACACCTGCCCATGCAGTGACAACATTGCCACAGTTTCACTGCTTAACAACCTAAAAACATGCTAAAAACCAAACATGCATTATTAAGTGTGTATAAACATTTGATTGAAATGTTTATAAAAAAATACCAGATGCAAATGCGCTTTTAGGTGCACTTACATGATTTCACTTAGAAACATGAAAACGAAAACTAAAGATATGCAGCACCACACAATTTTAGCGAGAAATACCTTAACTACTTGATGGCCGTTAAAAACTGCCGTGTAGCAACACGACAACTCGATCGAGTTGGAGCTGGAGAATTTCGATGGCCGTTGGCTCGATAGCCTTTCAAAAGTGCCCGTGTGACACCAGTATAAGGAAGCGAGACTACTGCTCAGGATGCTCATCTGCTACTCTTTCACTATTGTGTGCAGTTCATCGTGCAAGGGTGGCCGTGGCTGCCGCCAATGTGCAAGTCAGCAGCAAGCCTCTTCAGCGTCGCTGCGACCTCTGCAGCCAGCTGCCACTGCAGTGCCCCTGGTGAGCTCTACATGTGCCAGCGTGGTGCCACTGACACCAGAGGAAGAGAGGGGCTCCTACCAGTCAACACCTCGCCAGAGTGAGTGGGGCCACCTTGTTGTGTGGCTGGGAGGTCTTCGTCTGGGCATTTGGTGGCTTGAAATGGGATTATACATTATAGACCGCTTATAACGTATGTTGCGAGTGTCTCGAATATCTGCAATATACAAGCAGTACCGCACTATAATCAAAGCAACATTTTTCAAGGGCCTCACTTGCACAAAACATGTTGAGCATGGACCCTCGTGTGTCCGCAAATCGAAGCATGAGATGTGCAGTGCTTATAATCATTTAAATTTCTAATTGTTAAAAAAATGTAATATCCAAAGACACAGGTTTCTAACAAAATAAATGCAAAAAGGGGGGTGTATAACAAAAGAAAGCGTGATCTTGGGAATTCGCCGACTACTTTTAAACTGCCTTGATTATTCATTACACAGAAACTATATCGAATCGCACCAAAATTTGGTACGCTGAAAGACGCCGAGTGTTTGAACCACCTTGATTATTCGCATTACACAGAAACTATATCGAATCACGCCAAAATTTGGTACGCTGAAAGAAACCGAGTGTTTTATTTCACGGGTGCACGCACCCAATTTCAAAGAATCGCGAACCACTACTGAAGCGCTAAATTGCCAGCCTCATTTTCATTGGCAATATCTATCCCTTCTTTTCAAATACAGCCAACACAAAGAGTTTCTTTCATTCCATAGCAAGCCGTAACTTAGCATGCGACTGCTACTGAAACACAACCAACGCTGATTAGGCCTAGCCTGCCGTTCGATGTGTTGTCGCGATAAGTTTGCTCTGGACACGAAAATCTGGCGTAGACAAGATTGCACTCAAGCTCTGAACCATGCATGTGTGATACGAAGTTGGCACTGTCAGCAGAGAGACCAACAACGAGGAAAACTCGCAAAGCTTACCGTATTTTGGTGCGGATAACTCCCACCAAAAACCCGAAAATTTCAGTGGCCAAGTGGGAGTGAGGATAATACGCGGGGTTTTCCCCTGTGCGTGTTGTGTTGCGTGTTGTGCCATGTTGTGCCGTGAAGCCTCTTTACAGTCTAACGAAAGCTGCGGAGGCAATTTCCGCACATTCATGTTGCTCCGCAAGTAGTATGGCAGCTTGTGGCTGATTTTGGTTTTTCTTCCTTGCATCGTTGAAGTGTTAGAGAAGCATTTAAGGAGGGCAATTCGATTGTTTCTTGTAAACCTCACTGTCGCATCACAAGTATGTTTTTGGTCGTTTGCGGCTGCACGGTCCTCCACCCTTCACATACCCCTATGTCACGGACACCATGTTTACTTTGGACAAGGGCTTGCCAAAAAGGTAGTGCTATTTAAAAAATAGAAACAAAGGAAGGCATTTTTTGCAAAGAGAGCAATATCCCGTATCTTACCTACGACTTCCCGCAACTGTTTGAGTTCCATAATAAATGAAGCAGTACTTATTTCAGCAAGACAAATGAGATATCAGTAAATTTAAATACTACTTTTGATGTGGTAGGAGGCATGCGTTTCGGTTCTGTTGCTTCCACGGTGCTGTCAAGAAAAGTTGTCACTGAGTGTTAGCTTTTTTTACCTCACTGATATCACTAGTTCTCCACATCTCGACCCATTCGCCAAGCCTAACTCGATCTGTTCTGTCACCATGAGTAGCGTCCGGCGACAGTCCTACACTGCACAGCAGAAGCTTTAAGGCATCGCCGTCTCCGAGAAAGTTTGGAATCGCGAACCGGGAAGATGGCACAATGTGGGCGAGCCCTGCGTGCACCAGTGGAGAAAGCAGAAAGCCTACAAGCTGTGCACCACAACATAGGCCTTTTCGTGGCCCCAAGACAGGCGCCTACTCCGAGCTGGAGGTTTAACTAGTTATGTTGACCCAAGATGTGACGAGCAGGACTCACGCCTAGGCTTGTGCGAATAGTGAGTTTTGGGTTCGAAGCGAATTCGAAGTGAATAGTGATTTTGGTTGAATAATTTCGAATCGAATTTGAATAGTATATATGGCATATAAGAAAAATGGAGATATTTATCATGACCTAACTAGCGTACCAATATTTTTTATTGAATTGAAATAGAGCCTCGGTGCAATTTTTTTTTTTTTTTTGTTCGAAGGAAGTCAAAACAACTTTGGGTAGTAGCAGGATTAGACTTTCGGTAGGGTGCGAGTGATAACTTGTAACTTATGTAGCATTGAAAAACTCATTGTACTGGAGAGCACATAAATTGTCATAACAAGCCTTTAAGCTTCATAAAATAAAGAATTGATTTGAGGGTAATATACTCATTTAAAGTGGTCCTGCAACTTTTTTTTAAGTAGCCATGGTGTGGATTCACTGAGGAAGCTTTTTGTCTTGCTAATTCAATGCCACAAAATTTTAGAATCTGTCTTGTATGGGCAAAGTTGCAAGTATTCGTTGCGCGCTGCAATTGCATTCTCTATTCTCGTCCCGACGAAAAGCTAAGCAGGAAGAGATGGCACAGAGGGAGAAAATAAGTCATAGGCACCTCGTGATCTTGAGCACTTTTTTCCCCTTGGGATGCTTGACTTTTCAGTGCGATCTCACACGTATGCGTGGACAAGTGGCAGCCTTCCATGGCGGCCCTAGTAGCGACTGAGCACACCTTGCTCAAATCAGCCAACGGCAGATAGGTGGCCATCTACGAATGAGTTTTAGGCATGTGGCATCATTTGCAAAGAGAAGAGAGCAATTTTCAGCTGACTTTGAGAATCTATTGTGAATAGAAGGCCATAGAAGCCTGAAACACTTGAATTCGAAAAACGTGTTTTGAAGGCCCTTAAAAGCTCCAGAATTTTTTCCTGTTCCTGAGCGCTACACTCTCATATCGACATTGCGGCCTCCTAAACACGGTGGGCCAGCATATCAGCCTGTCGAATTTTCCATTAGAAGAGCAATAATGCAATTTGGCCGCATGTGGTATTGTTATGCAGAGCTGTACGTGAAAAAAAAAAAGTCAGTTTTGTGGCAAGGGCAAAGCAGTGAGAGTGATAACAACAATGTTACCCATACAACAGCAAGCAACTCTGTACATGCAGTGCTCCACATAAGCACGAAGTACGCATGAAAATAACACGCACAGGATGAACTCTAATGAACAACTGTCACTGCTAGACACTTGAAGCATGCTGCTTAAACAGTAAGAAGGATGCTTGAAAAGAATGCACAGGTATGCACAAGATGTGTGAATTAACAGCTGTCACAGTTGTTACTTGTGCACAACCCAACGCTCTTAAATTTTTTATTCTTGAAAGCTGCTGCGCATTGAGCGTGGCCTTTGAGATGTGGTGCCAACAGGTTTCTCTCCACCATCCCAATTGCACGGAGACGACATAATTTCACAAGTGGATATGACTGACTTCTCTGCACCGTGCCACTTGCCATTAAGGGGGGACGTGGTTCTTAGGGCTCTGTCATTTATTTTTGAACCAAGTGTGACAAAAGTTGGCATTACTTAGTTTGTTCTCCGGATTCTAAAAATGTAGTTTTTTTTTTCTGTAGCTTCATTAGTTAATTAAATAATCAAGATAACAATTTCTATTGGTCTTACCATAATAGAAAAATATCCACCTGTCAAAAATTTTTAAGGGATTGACATAGAAAGCACAAGACATGCAACATAAGAAGCACTTTTTTGAATGGGTCATTATTTCTTACATTACAGTACACTAAACTTCACAGCCCTGAATGTGGCCATTGTGTGGTCACACAAAAGAATAGTTTGAAAAACTTGCATCAAGAGAAATTTTGTGTGCTCCAAACATATGTCATGCTGGAAAATAAAATATTCTGCTATCTGTAATAATTTCAGATATATTGCAGTAATTTTCATGCAGTGTGTACAAAATTGCCATTTTGAGGAAATAAAGAAAACAGAATTCTAACATTTTTAACTGTAAAAATGTATGCACTTATAATTACATAGCCATTGACATATAAATGAATGCTAAAAAGCCTAAGGAGTGCAATGCTGCAAGCTGATCGAAAATTGAATGAGTACTTCTCGAATTACAGCACAGTAAAGTTCATTGCATGTAACCAAATACAGAAATTTTCATATTAAAATAAAAAAATGAAGCTGCCCATTAAAAATAGGCTCCCAGCATTGTTTTTTGTGCACATTTAGCTACATTGTGCAAAAACAAGTACAGCTCTAGTTGTCCTAGGTCAACTTTTACCGAACAAGCAAAAGAAAGTGGTCAAAATCTGTCTTCGAGAATAATGCTGTTGAAACTTAATTTCACCGTCCCGAGGGAAAATTATCATGGCACACATACTTTTAGTCAGTTAATATGCATCGGGAATGTAATAGGACTGATTGTTTGTACAAGCGTGTCGTTTCTTCTAGTCCTGTAGCAAGTTGTCGCTGTGTGCTCGTCTGCCGCGAGGCCACTTATCAGTTCGGTGACTGCATTGACGGTGATGTGCGACAAATGTGCGTGCGTCATCCACAATTAGTCAAGTCAAGTTTATTAAATAGTTCAGTTGAGTTACATGGTTAGCGTTATTACAGCAGGAGGTCCCAAAGTTTCAGAGAAACTGACAGGGGGACCTCCTATGGCTACATGGATGGGGTAATTACAAAAAATACAATCCGTCGAATAACGCGGCGATGTTTTCCGGCTTGTCCAGAATAAGTTACCTGTAAGTGTCGCGAACCAAAGTTGCTCCCTCGCTCATCGATTTCGAGGCTACACGAGTGCCGAGGTGTTAGTTTCCTTTTCATGTAAGACTGCCGCATTTTCGAGCGGAGATCGCGACAACGTTGCGAACACGTCGTTAAAAGCAGTCTACCAGTTGCCAGTAGCCTCTATTGCGGGGGCCGCGAGCATGTTCACTGCGAACGGATTGACTTTCTGTTGTTGGTCGACGCGCGGCGTACTCCACTCTGACGAACCGTCGCGCAGTTCAAGGTCCTTTCGTCAGGCGGGAGGAACCACAACATCGGCGAGTTTAGCGATAAGACTGCACTTCCGTTCCGTCACTACAAAGATTGATATCTCTGGTAGCT